TCCGCGCCCCTCGATGGCCACAGCACAAAGGGGGTCCGGCGTTCCCGGAACGCCAGACGCCCTATGTGCGGCGGGGGAGGACGGGAACGCCAGACCCCTTTGTGCCGCGGGGGAGGACGAGGGTCCGAGATCCGATCCGACGATGGGCATAGCACGAAGGGGGTCCGGCGTTCCCGGAACGCCAGACCCCCTTTGTGCTGTGGGGGATGAGGGGGGTCCCCCCCACCCCCTCGATGACCACAACACGAAGCCTGCGCACCCCTCGCTCCCCCGAAGTGCGAAGGGGGTCCGGCGTTCGGACCCCCTCCGCACTGCGGCGGGGGGGGGGGCGGGGGACAAGGCGAGACGCACCCCTCGCTCCCCCGAAGCGCGAAGGGGGTCCGGCGTTCCGGGAACGCCGGACCCCTTCTATAAGGGGGGGGGGGACAAGGCGAGACGCACCCCTCGCTCCCCCGAAGCGCGAAAGGGGTCCGGCGTTCCGGGAACGAACGAAGGTGTTGTCGACGTTCGAAAACAGCAACTACAGGAGAGCGACAATGAAGCTTGTCAGACGTCTATTCAACAAAATCAAAGATGCAATGTTGCGTGTCATCAACGAAAGGTCGAGGATCGCCATTCACGTGGCGATGACCATGATAACATGCCGCAATGAAGAGGGTAAAACGAAAAAAATTAAAAAAACTAACACCGTCACAAAGTTTAATATCGTCGATCATATTCATCGGCGCGAAAGTGGCAAACGGAACAACCTGCAATCCGTCTTGCGTGCTTATCCGCATTGACCGACGTTCATCTGTGCTTTTTATGTATGTGGGTTTTATTTTTTTTTTCTCTCTTTATCTTTTTCGTATTGGTCCGTGCAGTATGGATCCAGAATGGATGCAGAGGCAGTTAAGACAAGATTAGTGGGGAATGTCAATCAAATGGGGGGAACTGATATCAGACCGGCTGAGGAGACAGCGTAACGCCATCGGACTTGTCACCTGGGATTTTGCATATTACGAACCGTCACTGCATTTGTATCCTCTAAGCGCAAGAAGAAAGATTTACAACCTCGTGGGGATGTGCGACCGTCAGAATAATAATAATTACAAGAAGGACGGGAACGCACGATACAAGGAGGTATTCTACGGTTACGGCCTTGTGGCTGCCCCGGTGACAGAGAAATGCAGCGCCACCATTGCATGTGTTGTTGTTCAATACCACGAAGGGCTTACAATATGTGCAACGAAGGCATGGAGACAAAAGATCCCGCGGAGTGATGCAGGAGACTCGATGGTGCGAGCGTACAAGCAGCACGTTAAACAATATTGTATTCACGCACGGGATGCAATGTTACAATTCGTTGCTAGGAGGACTGCCATCACTGCTTCTATCTCAACAGTCATCGTAGAGAACGAAGAAACAACGGGGGTCAACCGCAAATTCAAAAAAATCAAGTTAACCACCAACTTCAGCATTGCGAAGAGTGTACTCCGTCGAGCCAACGGTCTGAGCAACGACCTTGTTTACTTGCGCCGCTGTAGCACTTCCGGACATTTTGTTGTACAAAAGTTGTAGCTTAGCACTGTTGACGGAGATGGCAATAGAGTAGATCATGCGCTCGTACGAGTGCTCATATCGTTTTTTTTTCGTCATGTGCCGGATTTGAGGGGTTTTTTTTTTCAAAATTATGTCGAACTGGATTTCCACCTTTTATACGATCATGTGCGACTGCACATCAGCAGTAGTGTGGAGGAGTGTATGAACTCTACGGCACCAACTTTCATAGACATTGTCTTAGTCAAAGAGAGAGAGAGAGAGAACGAGAGAGAGAGAGAGAGAGAGAGAGAGAGAGAGAGAGAGTCAAAATCCGCATCAATGTTGCTTTGTATTTATCTAAAGAAGTCAATTTTCTTTTACATGAACTTCGAAAAGATTCACATAACGTTGTTCGTAATTCTTGGGTGGCATGAAAAGTCTCAAACATGTATAGATGTCCATGGAGTTTTTTTACCATTGACTGAACCTGCCATATGTCTTTTTTAGTATGATATTCAATATGTGTCTGTTGCCTTAATGCATTTGTAAAAAAAAAACAAAAAAATAATTGGTACTATATTGTGAAACATAGTAAATGCTAATCGATATGATGGAAAAGTACAGTAAAAATCCATAATGAAAACCCCTATAGCTTCACATAATGCGAATGAAACTGTAACACCCCCCAAAATGTGTGAGAAAGCAATGTAAAACTTGTGGTAAACATGAGCACAAACTATAAATAATGCGGGGTACCTACTCAAAATAGTGTGCTCAAAATGTAAAAAAATCACCAAAATCAGCATGAAAATGACAATTTCAATTTCGTTCAAAAAATATAAAATGTCCGTTTTGACGAAATCGCCGTTTCCACGTCTTTGTTGCTTCGCAGTGCGCTCATAAGACTTATCCCCAACCCGTGACCGGACTGCCTGTAGAATCCGCCAATCACCCACCTGGTGACACATGCAAATTTCTGTTTCGCCGGCAAAGGCTGCCTCCATTTCGTTGTCGTGCGCTATATGTGAGGATTATCTGTTGAAGCATGTCATGGAATAGTGGACATGGCAGCCTGCAAAACCCCAAGAACACCTTATCGTGACGGTGCCCAACACGCTGCAGGTCCTTCCAAACACTCCCGCTCCGCTGCAACACCCAAATCCTCCTTCTGCCATCCATGACCCTCTCCATGTCTGTCATCGCCACCCATATGTTTGCCATGCTATGGAAAACACATCCTGCTATCAGTAGTCAGCACTGTTGTAAGTCGTCGTCGATTATAGGCAAGGAGGATGCAACCTGCAGGACAACCATGGTCGCTGCGTTCCGCCAGGCCCTGTTCATCCACTGCATGATCGCCATGACAGTCATGAACAACACTTCATCCCTGTTTTCCTCTCCTTCACTCACCCTCCGCTGTCCTGCTCCTCCACGTTGCATAGTCGGGTGGAGATCGGATGCAATGGCAGACCTCTTAACACTTTCCACACCTCTGTCGTCGTGCGCGGGGACTAATCTCGGAGCCGCGTAAGCGTGGGCGTTGGGCTTCATAGGTTTTCTGCTTTACGACCGCCTGCAATGGAGAAATGGGTAGTGTGTGTCGGTTGTCGACGAGGATGCGGATGATGGGCATGCAAGAGAACGGGTATGGCAACAGCAGCTCAGCGCCTTTCCCACGGTGACCGTTTCTGCACTGCCATTTTCGGAAGCAACAGTCGTCCGCACCGCAACATAGTCCCGAGACGGCCTGGAACCCGGGACCGGGCAGGGTGTGTCACCCGCATAGCCATCGTGTGCCGCACGGGAAAAATCGCACAGTCGCCCACTGTGTACAACCGCCTTTCTATTAAACCATCAATGAGGGACCAGGAATGTTCTTCCGGGCCTCAACCTTTTCGAAAAAGGAAAACCATTCTGGATTTTCCTTTTTGGGTAACCGTAGGCGTCGCGAAAGCAATATTTCCTGCCGGCGGTGGGATACCCTCTGTTTTGTCATCCCCGTCTGCGGTGAGCAGTCGCGTGGAAGTCAGCGACATCCGAATCCGTTTGCCGCCGTCCTGTGGGGTCCTACCCTTACTCTGAAAAATCGAACTTCAAAACTATCAATTGCCCAAGAAGACAGTTGAAAATCCCTTCAGTTTGGCCAAACTCCAGGCACAGTATCCTAATTCGGCACTCTTCATAAACTTCTGAGGAGGACACTTCAAGGAACGGTGGGTGCAGGTTGGGCACTCTACAACCATGTAGAGTTCTCCTTGTAAGTGTTTTCTGACTTTAAGTTGTTGGGCACACTGAGATAGGATAGTAGTGATAGGGGTTGCGGTAGGAGTATTGTCGCAAGGATAGGATGGGAGGTGGCCTTGTGACGCTCGAACCTCACGCCCAGCGCGACTTCCTGTTTCTGAGTGGGATTGGCTTGAAAGCGCGTAGTAGGGGTGTGCCAAGGATTTTAGGAAAGTGGGGGTGGAGTCCCAGGTCGGAACTGAGATCTCCGGTGCCAAGTTTCAAGGACAAAAATGCAATTGGTTCCTCGTAAGGCCAGATCTTTTGGTTTTGTCTTTCCTCAGAGTCGAGTAGCTAGTTTCATCAGCTGCGTCGCCTGGGGCGGGTTCGTACTTGGTGTACGGAGGGAACATGGTGGGTATCTCTCTGTGTAAGCACTTGTTGCCGGCGGGTTTCACAGATCTCAGAATCTAATATTGACGGCCTCAGCCGGAGGCTGCGCTCTCGGCACTCATCTTCAGAGCGGGTTCGTCATACAAACCTTGCGGTTCGCTAGGTGTTGTACTGTCGGCACTTAGAGCACGGTGCTCAGGGCCAGCAGGGGGCTATCGACTCCTAAGGGACAACCGTTAGACTGTGGTAGGGGAGAAGGAGACAAAATGGAGGAAAGTTGGTGTCAATGGCAACGAATCCCGCCGTGATGTAGTACTAATAATTATGGGTGTCGGGGTAATCTAGGATTAACATAGGATTCGTGAAAAAACAACAAAAAAAACGTTGGGTTTGGATGAAATTTATTGAAGATTATGAAAGTATAGTATTGAGGCTTCACGTAGGAGAAAGATTCTACATGAAGGAAAATAACTTCAATAAAAAGGTATTTTTTTCGAACCACTGGAACTGACAAGGAAAAAAACATGTTTTTCCCAAAACAACTACTAACAAGTAAAACACCGTTTATTAAGGAATCGAAATATGAAGTTTTGTTTTCGTACCAAAAATCATGTGTAGAGTCTTATAAGTCATATAGCAAGGCGAACGTGTTTGAGGGTTTCGTGAGTAGACTAACATGCTAATTTATTTGTCACTACGTTCGCCTTTACATATTGTCTCTTTTATAGGCAACCTAATAAAGATTTTTAATTTATTTTCTTCGGATGTTTATTTTAACTTGGATTTGACTAATAATTTGAAGATGCATCCAAGGTAAAAGTTATTTGTGTTATTATTTTACATATCATATATTTTTTTAGAACGTTTCTACTATCAGCTTCAAAATTGCTTTATAGGAATTTATACTGTTGAGAACGACGTACAGTTCTATATATTAGTATTTAGTAGAACTGTTTTTCTTTTTATAGCTTTCGAGTTCGCCTTGCAATTGTTTTATTGAAACTCAATTGTTTGCCGGTCTGTTGGAAATCATTTATAGTCCTGTAACATGATATTTGCTAGAAAGGGGTTTCATGCACAATTTTAAAATTGCTTCATTTTTTGCGTGACTTTTGGTCTCCTCACTCGAGAAAGGATTAAAGACGCTGTTTTTTTTTTTTTTTTAAGCACAACTATTGAAGTTCTACGATTTCACTTTGCAGAAAATGTTGGGTTTTATTAGTTTTGTTGGGTTTTCACGAATCCTGTGTTGATTCAGGAATTTTAGCCTTGTGAAAGTCTCAGGCACACAATTGAACGTCCTTTGTTTGGCGAGGGTAGGCCGGAAGCCTTAAGTTCGATCGGCGGGAGAGTTGTTTGTTCTCCCAGTAATTCCAGTACCCAGGGTTCCTTAAACTGGCGCGATCGGTGATCCAAAATGAAACGCCGATTTCCATGTTCTGCAAGAGGGATTCAACTCATACATTTGGTCGTGCAAGGAGAGGTGGTCTCAGGGACGAGTCATGCAGACACATGTATACGAGATGACTGTCATTCTTGTGATCATTCGTATATGTGCATGCTCATGATCCGTTCCCACTAATTTCGAATCAACCTATACAAATCAGACGGTTGTTTGAGGAAAGCATACTTTCATACATCAGATGTCAGTCGCGCCACCCATACCTAGAGCAGTCTGTAAACCGCCTGATATGCATGCATCTATCCTGAATCAGTCGATCAATGTTGCATACTTGAAAACATAAACGTACACAAAGGGACCGGGTTCCACTTTCCATACATCAGTCAGGCGCATACTTCACATACATCATGATCCCTCGAATCGGCGATCGACAATCCCTCATATGCACAAATCGCTCCATCGATCGGCCAGTTTGCACAAACGCCATACATTCCACATTAAAGAGGAAGGGATGGGGGAGAGAAAGATACTTCAGACATCAATCAGAGAAAGAAAAAGGGAAATCAAAGAGTGCCGCAAACAAAAATGACCGAAATCATATATTCAAATTACACAAAAAAATGCGAAGAGGTAACACCACTTGAACACCTCTACCTCTCTCTCTCTCTCTCTCTCTCTCTCTCTCTCTCTCTCTCTCTCTCTCTCTCTCTCTCTCTCTCTCTCTCTCTCTCGGCTCCCACGATGCGGGTCGTCCGTCCCCTCGCACCTACCAACAATCCGAAGTTGTCACCCCGCTTAGCTTGAGTATGCAACTTGAAGCCAAGTTTGCCCGTGTGCCACAGTCCTTCACGGCCACACGTCAGCCCCTCATACCCGGCACCAGCTCGTTGGATCGGGCAACTCCCTACTCACCATTCTGTTTTCTGCTCGGTAGCCGATCCTCTCGGACGCGCTAACTCCCAAGTGAAGATTAGAGAGTGAATTAGTCGTGCGTGTGAGCTTTACAGCAGTCGGTAGTTGTGCGAGATAATTCCGGATTATGCTGAAGCAAGAGGCAGAGAGGAGAAGGAAGTGCCTACGGGTGCATGACGGGGCCGCGGCGTGGGGAACATACCCGCTCTCCACGCATCGATTCAGTCGTGCACCTGCTGGCCAATTAGATAGACGGGAAAGAGACGTAAAGTTTCGCGCGGAAAAAGAAGAGATCAAGAAGGGAGAGGATAACAGTTACACCTGCGCTCGCGAAGAAGGAGCAAGAGGAGATAACAATTGCGATTAGAACTTAGACGCGGCGGGGACAGAGCGCAAGACAAGACGCGCAACGATGTGTGATTACAGCCAAAAATTGTGACGCTCCCAAATTCCTGGCCTAATTAAACTCCTCATTGCAAGAAGAAATTCCGCGAGCCTGAGTAAGTTCAAAATTCAAGAAGAAATTTAAAAAAAAAAAAGATTCCCTGCGCGGTGATCACGCCAAAAATTCCCCTCCCCACAACAGAACAAGAAAGAAATTATGGCAACAGTTATTTCCGCGCTCGCTAAGGCGCGATCAATTACCAACCGTCATGGGACCAACCTCTTTCCAAAAGACGGGGGCATTCATGCAATTGGGCGGGCCCCTCCCGATTAACCCCCGAAACACAGTCGCGCGGAAAGTAGCCCGTTTATGGAAAGTAGTTTGTCACAGCCTCTTCTTCTCAAGACAGCCATGGCTGACGGCTCCTGATAATCACCATGGGCCTAGGAACTGGCCTCTACAACACCCCGGGCTTTTCTTTTAAAAAAAAGACAAAGAAGAAGAAGAAAGGGGTAACTTCAGTACAGTCACAAACAGAGTCTCAAATTACACTTCGGGCATTCCCCCAAACACAACACAACCCCACGCAACCCTAGTTTCAAATTACACTTTGGGCATTCCCCCAAACACACCGCACCCCCATGCAGCCCTACTTGACCGGAAAGCTAGCTTGTATATATTGCCCAAAGTGCGATTCGAAACTCTTTTTTGCCCAAAGTGTATTTTCAAACTCTTTTTATGATTTCTCAAGTAGATTTGTAGAGCTGGTGCAGCCATGACCCAACTGTGCAAATTGTACAGTTCCAAGTAGTGCAGCAAGGCCCTTTGTTTCCCTTTTGAAAAGGGGTTAGCCCCATGCATTATTGTACCCATTTGTTTTTTTTTTGTTTTTTGTTTTTTTTTAAATTGCTCCAGTCTATTCGTGGGGAGCAGCACGTGTACCCATTTGTTTCCAGGAACCCATGATCTATTCATCATTTGTGCACCAGTCAGCCCCATGGGTTGATATGTTGATCATTTGTGTAAGTACTAGTCATCTCCATACTGATGTGGAAAGGCCCTTTCGCTCCACTGCTCACCACATGCACAAAAAACAAAAACTACGGCGGTATCTGTCCATGTTCTAGGAGAAGATTCATTCTCATTTTGCACATGGTGAGTAGTACTGCAGTGGAGGGAGGCCCTTTGCCTCAAATGAACAGCCGTCATTTTGCTTCCCTTTTTCTTTTTTTCGTTTTCCTGCCCGTCAGGCCCTTTTTTTTTTTTTTTTTTTTTTTTTGAAGTAATTGAATGAGGCCAGGAATCCCTCAACATCTCAACCCGGTAGTGAAGCTTGTGCTGGAAACCGGGTCCAGTGTCCCATGGTCTGCAACTCCAAAGATTGTGAGCAACCGGACCAAAACTT